CATAGCTGGCTGGGGAATTCTGGGAGTTGAAGTCCACGCGTCTTAAAGTCACCAAGGTTGAGAAACACTGCTCTGGATGGTCTATTTTAAATCCTTGCTGATCGGGGGGTCAACCTTCAATGAACAGTCAGAAATTTTTGTCAGGGCTGGTCTTCCAAACGAGAAGTATGTTAGTTCGAAAGCAGGGGTAGACCATGATTTCCCAGCCGGGCCCAAAGGACTGTGTTCACACCACACCTGTGGGTCGGTAACCCAGGACTTAAGGCCCACGTCCCACCCATATGAAGTCCTTGCCGGGTCGGAGTGCAGAGAGTTTCCTGCTGGCCAATCTCCCCCCCACAAGAGACTTCTTCTCAGCCTGGTGAACTTCCCCATTGTTCCGTGTTCCTCAAACTCCGTGACTGTAAGGGGTGTGGCCTTCAACTCCCAGAATTCCCCAGCCAGCAATTCTGGGAGTTGAAGGCCCCACCTCTCACAGTCACAGATGTTGAGGAACCCTGGTTTAGATGGCATCAGAACCCATCAGAACTTCTTCTTTATAGGTGGTCCTTGAGATGATCCTTGGAACAACCCATGATGGTATCAGAGTCCTGGTACGGGCAAATTCAAAGGTTTTGGGGAGGAAAAAGAATCATTTTTACGAAACAGGGACACCGGGTGCCCAGCATTGATTCAGAGTCCACCATTCACCTGCAACTGGTGTCAGGACCTAGTGCAACCCCACCAAACAGGGACATGTGCGTTTCTCCCCAAGCAAAGACATCTCCTTTTTGCTGACTGTGTTTGCAAAGAGTGAGCTCCTGAATGTCGTTCTGGTCCAGCAGCCAGCTCCAGAGGTTGACGTGACTCATCCAGCCGGAGAAGGCATCAGCGAAGACGTCCAACATGGCGTTCTTCCGCTTGCCGAGGATGGGTGTCCCCCCGCTCTGGATGATGTAGTTTTTCTGGATGTTTCGGGCTGTGCCCACGGCGCCGTTCACCCACAGGTTAATGGTCCCAGAGCTGGAGAGCCAGGTGACGCAGTGGTGGACCCAATCTTCCGCCCGGCGGTGGAGGTCGAATTGCACAAACTTCCCCCCAATCCACACTCCCACAGCCATGCCCACGCTGATGACCAGCTCGTTCTCGCTCTCTGGAGTGGAGTAGAAGAGAACGGTCTGCCTCCCCTGGTTGCGGTTCTGCACCCAGAAACACAGAGTGAAGGTTTTCAGTTGCATTGGCTTCAGGGGGATCACGGTCACGTAGCTGGCGGTGTTCTCCAAGGGGAAGTGGAACGCTTGCAAGCTGCGTTGGTGGTGACCTGAAATAAACACCCAGAAACGTTCATGGATGGATGGATGGCCCTTGAGTTCACCAACCAATCAGAAGGAACCAGTTTTGTATATGGCTTCCCCTTGAGTTGATCCTTGGAACCACCCATCCGAACCTCTTATTTATAGGTGGTCTTTGAGTTGATCCTTGGAACCACCCATCCAAACCTCTTATTTATAGGTGGTCTTTGAGTTGATCCTTGGAACAACCCATCCAAACCTCTTATTTATAGGTGGTCCTTGAGTTGATCCTTGGAACAACCCATCCAAACCTCTTATTTATAGGTGGTCCTTGAGTTGATCCTTGGAACAACCCATCCAAACCTCTTATTTATGGGTG